GCCTGGAACCGAGCCAAGTCTGCACTAGAGATGCACGTCAACCCGGCCCAGATCATCCCTGAGTCCAGCCTGGGAATGTACAGCTGCCATCGCAAAACACAGCCCAGAGAGAGACAATAGCACCTAATACATATGCACACATGTACAGGCCTTTGAAATCTCAACTGAGCACAGCGGCTGTAATCAAGTATGAAGTGTAAGAGATGTTTGAGCTCAGAGGACAACCTCTTGGACAAGTCTCCCTGACAACCTCTTGGACAAAAAAAGCCTTTTTATGCTCTAACCTCATATACACAGACATATTTCGTCATTATGGGGAGCTCAGGCAAAGCAAAAACAAGGAAATTTAAATGGGAATGTGATTAATTACGTATCAGTATCATTACGTTGATCATAAACTTTTGGTCATAAACTTCTCTGTTTGACTACTCATTCGACAAAGTGTTATTTTGGTTTTTAGTCAGTTTTGGTAATTTAAGAATTACAAATGAAAGAAAGAAAAATTATTGCAACCATTTGAAAAGAGAAAGAGAAACTGAAAATTGAAAGCATTTTGAACAACTGATGTTTTGGTAAAATTGTTATCAGTTATCAATTAGTTATAATATTAGTTATACAAGTATCAATTATTATCAAATATTATTATATGAATTATCAAATTGCTAGTTTGATAAAACTATTTTAACATTATTATATATTATAAATGAAAAACAAATAAACAAACATTTTAATAAATTAAAATATACATAGACAAATATATTATATTATATTATATTATATTAACCACATATTATACACACACATTAACATTACATAAGAAATTATATTATTTTCTAAAAATATATTATATTTCTTGGACTAAAATGCATGTATTTACAGAAAATTAAAGTATCCCTTTTCTCTCCATTTAATCAAATTTTTGTCTAAGATAATGACTTGAGATATTAAAGATCTCTGACATATTTTTTTTTCTTTCCTACAGGAAGCCATCCACAATTACAGCTGATTGTAATGGCATGAGGGCGAATAAAACAGCGAGTGGAACTGTCAAGGAGACAGGCTCTTTGTAAACAGGTCAGCGGAACCCAAATCACTTGGCTTGATTAATACCGATTCTAAGAACAACCAACACAGGCTTGCCTTCCTGTTGGAGGCGGTGGCTTTTACATGGTCTTATTTGTGCGGCTTTACTTGTCTTACATAAGTAACACATTTTCTGTTTCAGATCGAGATTTACTTCGACATTTGTTTTTAATTGTTCCTAAGCCGCTCCTTCAATCTCTGATGGCGCTTTTAAGTTCGTGCTTGAGTCACATAACAGTAATCCGGTCCCTGGACAGAATTAGTTGCCATATGAAATTTCTCAACAAGAGGCTTTTGGCTAAAGGAATAAATAAGAAGTAAAACCTTGAGCTTGAAGTTCTGATAAGCCTCTAACGCTATAATCTAAACATCTGTTATCTTTAAAACAAGTGACATTGTAATTCCCGAAAAGACAAAGACTCAATCTCTTCATCTCTCTGAGTTCTTTGTACAAAATGTGATGAAACGGAGAGAAGGGCAATTTAAAAGTGGTTTGATTTGGGCAAAGCACAGTGCCAAACTCTAGAGAAAACCAGAACTGATTTTCCAAGCCGACTCTATATTGGGTTACAGGCCCAATGGTTTTATTTGGACCCTGTTCAGTCCCGTTTACAGAATCCAGTGATGTGATCAGTTACATCATCAATAAATGTCTAAAACACCGCTTACCATGAGAGCCAAAACAGTAGCGCTTTGATGGGGAAGCTGGATCTTTAAACCACGCACACGCTCCACGCTAACAGCGTGGAAACCCAATCCCTGCATGCTGTTTTACCACTCAACTTTTACGTCTTCTACATGAAGGCTGAAGAGCTTGTTTGGAGTACTAATTAACTCAAAGCTGTTGTATATTAAGAGCACTGGGCATTTTTTGTAGAGCTAGCTCTAATGAAAACAGAGTGCCAGGGAACTGCATTAGCAAGCCTCCTCCTCTCGCTTCCCATTGCATCCTACTCTTGTCTTCCGACTTCTTCTTTACAACAAGCTGTGGCCTCTGGAGACGGAAGTTAAATGGGTCACAATGGGAGGCAATGGTAATGATATATATGGAAACAAAGTCAGTGAAGATAAAAAGCATGATAAAATAGTATGCATCCTAAGCCTGACTTTCTTAATGCCTCTGTTTTTGGTGGTGTTCTGGTATAAAAATTTGTGATTACAGTGTAACAGCCATTAACTGCAGCAGATGGAGACCATCTCTCAAGAAACGGGGCTCCATAAACTACAGTCAAGATATATTTTAAAAAGTCTTCAATGTTACATGATCCTTCAGAAATCAATATGCTGATTTGGTGCGAGAGAAATATTTCTTATTACTGATGTTGATAACAGTTGTCCTGCTTAAAGGGATAGTTCACCCAAAAATGAAAATTTTGTCATCAATTACTCACCCTCATGTCTTTCCAAACCTGTATGAGCTTATTTTTTTATGTTGAACATAAAAGAAGAAATTTTGAAGAATGCTGGTAATCAAACAGCTGATGGGGACCATTGACTTCCATAGTATTTCTTTCCCTACTATGGAAGTCAGTGGGGACCAACAACTGTTTGGTTCTTCAAAATTCTTCAAAATATCTTCTTTTGTGTTCAACATAAGATAGAAACTCATACACGTTTGGAACGACATGAGAGTGAGTAAATGATGACAATTTTCATTTCATTGTCACTTTTGATCCATTTAAAGGGGTCCTATTATGCTCTTTTACAAAGTCTTGATTTTGTTTTGGGGGTGTAGTAGAACAGGCTCTCATACTAGGTCTGCCTTGGGAAAGCTAGCGTGTCTCTGACATAGTGATAACACTCGTTGCCTTCTCTAGTGCAGCTCAACCAGATTTCGTCCCATTCATCGATATTTGTGATAGCACAAATCCCGGAAAATATGCGTTGTAGTCCAAACGAGTCGTTCGTTGTAGTTTTTGAAAAGTGATTTCTGTTAAATAAAATATCTCCTTTTGGATTGGACTTTGTAAATTTGCAGATGATTTTTTATGATCAAACAGCAACATTACAGACTAACTAAAGTTGAAAAAGTGAAAAAGCATAATAGGACCCCTTTAAGGCTCTATTGTCGAATAAAAGTATTAAAAGTTTTTTTTTTTTTAACGGTAGTGTATATGCACAATACAATGTGACCGTTAACATGATGCTACACTGCCACTTGTCCTTTGACAACAGCTTAGCTAATGTCATGCTATTGAAAAAATTCTTATGTTAACATAGCAACTTCAATTAGCTACTCTTCAGTGCACTGCAGGAATAACAGTATAGCATAGCCCAGCTGTTTAGGATGAGCTCTGTCGCTAGTTGAGAATATCCAACTCCAGCAGCCTCCACTCCTAAAGGTAATTAAAATTTTCACACGAACTCTTACTGCCACTGCGACACACAGTAAGCATGTAGAGGCCTGTCTACTGAAAAGTGAAGAGTGGTACTTCTCACACACGCGGCGTGTTAGAGTGGTAGTAGCACAGTGGCTAGTTCTGCGGGCTCTTCAACAGCGTGTGCCTTTAACAGATTGGGCCTTTCTCTTGAGAAGTGCACTTGAAAGAGGTTTTACTGCCGAGCTATAAATCTGTCGTGCTTCGGGATTGTGTAAATAAGACAGTGGTTTGTTTTTACCTGACACATCTGAGCAGCGAGAGAAAGAAAGGCTGATGGTTAACCTCACAATGATAGGTAGAGCGCTGAGAAGAAAACCGGCCTGGATTCCTTTCTGAGGGCCTCAAGCTCAGGGGCTTTGAAGTGGAAGTCAAATGCAGAGGATGATATGAGATGTGAAATAGAGAGTGAAAAGTGAAAACTGAGAAGTAAAGAATGAAATGAGTGCGTCAAATATGAGAGAAGACCAGCTGACATAATGGTGTATTGGGTGTGAATCTGGGAAAGAAAAGAGGAGTGGGGATCTTTGTACCTGTCTCCAATGAATGTGCAAAAGCAAGCGGAAAAAAAAGAAGAGAAAGAAGAGAGTATCTCCAGGCACGGGCTGCTCATGTTGCCCTTGGCTTTTATGTGTGTATGGTGTGTGTAAAAGACCCTGACCACTGCCACTGACCAGCTTGTGTACGTCCACGTCTCCGACTGGGTGGTCCGCTAACCTTGCTTGATTGAGAACCACATACCACGCAAACCAACAGCTCACAAACACTCATTCTTATCCTGCATCTTTTCCTGCTCTTTCTTCACATATACGTCACATTTATTTACGGCGCTCTTATAAGCATTCTCTTTATTCTCCCTCCTTTCCATTTTTTCATTTCTCATAATTGCTTGATGGAGAGGGAAAAAAGCCCAATCCACTTTGTGGATTTGGGTGACCACAGTGTGTACTTTGCAACTAATCCAATTCAATTATTTTCAAGCAAAGAGCAAGCTTTCAATGAGCCTATTCTTGAAGCACACTTATAAAGAGAGACCTTCAAAAGATCACTCAAACTGACTTAAAGCAAGCAGCAAATATTTGCAAAAGGCAAGGTTTGCGCAATTTACATGTCAACAAGGTATGTTTACAGGCTCGTCGGCCGCAAAATCACGCAAAGTGATTTTTCCAATATTGGACAATGGGAAACGGGGCTAACAGTAGCGACTGTTTTTCCAAAGCTGCTGCAACGTCACCGTGCTGGGACGGTGTAATTTCAGAGGCATTTATCATCGGCTTTCATGTCTCAAAGCCTTAGGGCACTTTTCCACAAAACATGCAAACAGGCACCACTTGGTGTCATTAAGCTTTCTCTCATTTCTGTTTTTTCCCTTCCTTCATTAATTAGGGAGTGATAATTATTCTACCCAGCTATAGCCCCTTCCCGAATTACCATTGGCCAATTATCCTGATTGATGAGAGTTGTAACGTGATTGATGACAGCTGTAAAAACAAAATAACGTTTTTTGACAGAACGAAGACGCGAAAGTCGAGCACTGACCTGGATCTGCTGCTGGAGGAGATTGATTTTGTGCTGTTGCTGCAGAAGTTGCTGCTGTTGTCTGGCAATCTGCGAAAGCACAAAGATTCCTTTAGCTGAACATCGCTAGAAACCTTCAACATTAAAGGATGTACGTTATAATAGTCCACGAGAGAGCAACTGGATTTATTGTACCATGTATTTATGCAGACAGATAATATATGCAATCAGAGCTTGTGGGTAAAATCTCTCGTCCACCAATTGACCCTAATGACTGTAATCAGAGGACTGCTAATGTGTATTATACCCAGCTCCGGGCCTGGCCGGGGCGATGCGCCGCGGGGTGAAAGACTGGCATGTTTACGCAACCTAGGAGTGGTCGGGTCTGCCCAAGGGTGGGCTCTCGACGTTAAGCGCATTGCCTTCTCCTGCTCTCTCAATTTCTCCCAGCCCCTGCAGACTCCCCCGTTCTTCCTCCTCAGTTAGCCTGACAGCCTAGGTTTAAGTGTCATTTAATTTTCATTTTCAAATATAATTACAAAGTGTTCACTGTAAGATATCACCCGTCTGCAAATGTGTCAGGATTAATTTGTGCTGGCTTCTTCACTAGTGTCAACAGTTAATTACTGTGTCGTGTCTGGATGGCTAAATGACATCCTAACTTCAGGCTCCCCCTTCCTCCCTCCCTCTCTTTCTCTCTCGCTCTCTTCTGTTCCCCTCTCCCTCCATTTTGTTTGTCATTAATGAAAAGGGATGCGGTTTTGAACCTTTGCAAAACCGTAAATTCCTGAAATAACCATTTATTAAAATCAGTTGAGCATACAATGAATATACAATTCTCATAAAGCTGAATATTAACGCGGAGAGCCGGGTGACATTAATAGGGTGAATTAGAAAACGTGTATCCGTTTCAGGTAAATGCAGACCACATTAATATGCACCTATTCATCTGCATAATAAATTGACAGCAATTATATGGTTTCGATATAAAAACAGTGAAGATGTAGATGGATCTTGTGCGACATTAACGGAGCTCATGAGCTGCTGATGCGTTCAGTACGCCTCATTTGCTTGATCTACACATGCTTTTCATGCAAAGTTTGATCTAATTGTGATCAATTTCCCTACCAATTTACGTGCTTCCATATTTCATCAGTTATATACAATAACCGTAAATCTGCGCTTCCCTCCTCATGACAGAGTCTGATTTATCAAGGAGTAAAACATCAAGCCATAAACTAAATTAAAATATTAAATCGCTAAATAGAAGAACTCATTACCTATTTAAAAGCAAATAAGAGCAATCTTGTTTTAAGTGCCTCCTCTGATAAATGAGGCTGTAAAATGAGAATATGTGACGCATCGTTGATAATATCTTTATTAAACTGGCTTTAAACAAAACAACAGGATTTAAAGGACATATGCACTATGAAGCCAGTAAGAGATTTGCTTTTGAATTAAATTGGCCTCACGCCACAGGAAGTTGAATTGGAATGGCAAGAAAAGAAATTTATTGAATTGTATTTCAAATAAGCATTATGGGAAATAAAGTTCTTCTTTGTCGTCCACAAAAGTTAATTAAAAAAAAAGTAACTATGAGGAAATATACAAACTGAATTCAAGTTTCTATAGGTGACATTTCAAACATATTTAATTTTTCTCAAAATGTTTCAAAATTCAAATTTTGTCCTGACTAATTTTGCCATTCTAGTTAAAAAATTACAGTATAAATTTATTTCAATTTTAATTCCATTCTACATCATTCCATTCTCAATTCCAATTCAATTCAAATTCAGGCACTGACTTTAATTCTGATTTATGACTTTGATTCTGAATGGTGCTCCACCCTGGTTTGCACATTCTCACCTGCTCTTGCTGTTGGCGTGCCAGCTCCATTTGCTGACGTTGTTTCTCCATCTGTGAGGCGGCCAGTTTCTTCTGCTCATCATGGGCGGCCAGGAGTTGCTCCCGCAGGCTGATGAGCTGTGTGATCATGGTGGAGAGCTGTCGCTCCTTCTCTGCGAGACTTTCTGGAGTACCTGCAACAGAACACATGTAGTCAAACACAAGGAACCAAACGGTAAAAGAGAAAAAAAGGTCTTCTTTCCATGACCCTGTACACTCTCCCAGCAGTGAGAAGAAAAGGTTCTCATGTTACATCAGCCAGATGTCCCTCACCTCTTAAATATAGTCTCTATATGAAGGCAAAGGTCAGTTTTCCTAGAGACAGAACAGCAAACAAAGCAAGTGGTAGAAAACAGAGCCTTGTTAATTGATCTGCGCTTCAGAGATATAAAAAGCCCACAATCGAGAAGCTCCAGGGATCAGCAAGGTTTTTTTTTCTTGAGAGGGCAAGACAGAGCCAGCAAATGCTGAGCATTGAGTACGTCTCAGTCCAGAATTCCTGAAGACCACAGAAGGCGGTCTGGGAGGGAAACTCTAGCTCCTTCAAAGTCGAGAATGGTATCATCCAAACAGCCTCGGTCTGATAACGGAACGGCTTCATTAAAAGTGCGAAGGTCACGAGTCCCGCTCTCTCTTTCCACTTCTGGTGATCGCGGCTTCTTGTAGAGATGGTGAGGAATGGAATTGTTCCTATTAAATAAGACGAGCTGTCACAAGACGAGTGAAGGTGGCAGATTAGTGACAGACAATACAGGGCAAGTGTGTGTGCGACTGCTCTCAATTCTCATTAAAGGAGGAGCAGGCACAAACACCTCAGAGCTGACGTGCCTTCTCGCAAACAGGGTCACCGTCACCTCTGTATCCTCTCATTATCTCTCTCGCATGCATCAAACAGCGTAATCACACCAGGCAATGTGCGTGCCTTCTGCACGTCCTCCCATGAGGCCGCGCTGTACCTTTAGCTAATCAATGCTAAGTGATCCTGCCTCCGGACAGTAACCTGCTGCTTCATGAGAACAGTACGATCAGCTTGGCTAGTGGCCAGCTCAGTGTTAAATTCTTCCCTGGGTGTCTTCCTGTGCTCCCCTGGCCACATCTGTCTTGAGTTTCTCCGAAGGGCCTCCCTGGGGCCTGCTCTAGTTCAACTATTTTAATTTGACTAAACACCTGATTTATTTTATCTCTCCGATGAAGAAGGCCGTTTGTCTTAATAGGGCCTGTCAACCTCCAGACCCCATTCAGAGCAATTTACTGGCCGGGCTTTCGCGGTGGCGATGAAGGAGAGAGGCTGCAATTCTCCATTTACCCTCTCTCTCAAAAAAGGCACCTAAAAGCGCCTATTCACTGCTACTGCATGTGGTTTCCTTGGGCCTGAATTGACTTTTTATTCAGCTGACTACACTTGTTGTGAATGGCTTATCTGTAAAATTGATACATTTGCAACTGATTTTATTAACCTTTGGCTTGTGCCATGAAGGGCCGTATTTAGCTGCCGCCGCTGTCGGGACTGACATCTGCCCCGTGCAGGCTCAAAAAAAGAAATGGAGAGAGAGTCCGAAGGGGATGGGGGCGGCAGAGCATCTCTCAATGGACGAAGGGAGAGACGCTTCACCGAGTCAGAAGGGCTGTTGGATGTCAAATAGCATAACTTGCTCCTCCTCCCAACGGAGAATCTCAGGGGCCTCTGGGGGTGGACAGGACTCATATCCTACTGAGGGGCAAACATCTGGACTCAATTCTGCCCACTCAGGAGCTCTCTGGACAACCCTCCAACTCGATCACACATTTCAATCACACAATCCGCTTTGCTTGATTCTGCTATACAACAGTTCGGAGTACACTCCTATTAGGTTACATACCGTAATTATCATTTTTATGTATTTTTGTGTGTAGAACTGTCGTATATATGTTGTACAAAAAGTGGTGATCGAGCACATACATGTGTTACAGTAACCAAGTTTTACCGAGGGGCTGCAGACTGTGGAGGGCCCAGCACAGGTTCTTGTGTGTGTGGAGTGCTGGTCTGCACAAACACCAACAGCATACTAACAGAGGCTCCATTGTTTCGCCTCCGGCTCAATTGTCCAGAGTTCACCCCAACCACCCCACCCTGCTACCAAAATGTCTTCCCGCTTCTCTCTCACTCCTGTTTTCCCCTCCTCAGATTTCTGGCCTGTTCTGGTCCTGTTTCATTGTTTTCTGACTATAACAGTAACTTCTCAGTGCATTATGGAAAGCTGAATGTTTTAGAAATAAGTGCATTAGAATACCAAACAATATCTTGTCTAGGCTGAAATTGAACAATATTATGCAAAGTATTGTGTAAAAAAGATTGCTTTATGTATTGCTTTATATCCTTTATATATTTTTTTGCTTTATTATATAATCTAACATTTATTTTTAATTATATATATAGTTAAAATTTAAAATATTACATTTATTTTTAAGCATATATATTTTAAGCATTGATCTAATAGCATAGTAAATAGTATGTGTGTATAGTATGTATATAGCATATAGTAAATGTATGTAAATATGTATATATTTAAATAATACACAAATAAATAATATACAGATAAATATTAAAAAATATTAAAATAAATAAAGTATTAAAAATGACTAATACACATTAAATATAAAACAATAATAAAAATGAAATGGGAAAATATTTGAAAAATGTTATTACAAATAATTTCATGCACAGTTTAAATCTCATAAATATGTATCCATATAAAATAAATTAATACATAAATATATACAGTGGGTACGGAAAGTATTCAGACCCCCTTAAAAAAATTAACTTAAATGATTTTAGCAAATGGCTGCAATATAACAAAGAGTGAAAAATTTAAGGGGGTCTGAATACTTTCCGTACCCACTGTATGCAGTTATTTATTTACTTGCATATATAAAAGTCAATTGTAGGAATTAAATAGGAATAGTGTGTTTTGGTAGTCCTGTTTTGGTATAGAGAATCCTGTTCTTCCTGCATTGAATTATAAATCCCTTTTAAAAGCAGATAAAAGTTTTATTGGCAGGGGAGCATGGGGGGAGCTCGGCCTGTCTGCAGAGTGCTGACAAAGAGAGCAGTGGTGCATATTGCATTGCTCTTAACAGCAGTGAGTCTGGCTGCTCTTGCAAAGGTGTCTCATTGCATTGTCGTTCTGACTTGACACATCTGGCCAGGAGATGCTAAATAATGAGAGCAGGTTAGGTTTGTCTAATTCATCAACGAGGACATAAGATTCCACTCAGGACCTTTGGCTGAGGAGGAAACACAAAGAATGAGGGAGAATATGCGAGAGAGACAGCGTCAACAGAACATTCACCTTCCTCTCCCTTCACTGCCACAAACCAGATTGGATGACATTTCCCACAATGCCCAACTCGAATACCGGAGAGAAACAACTGCGACTGCAATGAATGAGCGAGAGAGGGAGCTGTCAAAGAGAGGGGCCACCAGATAAAAGACACTTTGTAGGGGTGCGATTTGTTCTGTCCAACAGCCATTCTGCCACCCCAGGCCAACCCAACCCCCCTTCCCGGCTAATCAAGCAGTCTCTAATTTGAGTTCCAAGTCCAGCACCAAGGGAAGAGAGGGCAGCTTGTTACTTTGAAGAGTCCCAAGTGAATAAGAGAGATAAAAGATCCAGGCACACACTAGGAAGAAAGAGGAAAGGGGGCGAAAAAGGGAAAGACTCTCTATTCTCTTCTCTTCCTTTGGTTAGGACAGCTGAACCATTATGACTAAATTTGAATGACTTTTTTCCCTCCCTAATGTCCGAATACTGGAATTTCTTTGTCTCTCCTTCAGTTGGCTTTTGTGGATGCTCCCATATGCTGCGAGCCCATCCTAAGTAAATTAGGGCTCTAAAAGCAGCGATTGTGCCCAGGCTGTGTCCGGACGCAGGCTGCGCATAGCTGGCGTGCCTGACGTGGCTGGCGGCTCGAGTGCTGTGAAAAGGTATATTCCCTCGTCTCACCCAAAAAGGGGGAAAAAAAACAGTCACTAATGATTTTCAGCCCAGCAGTACATATACACAAGGACTAGCATTTATGGTCCCCCTTTTGAACTCCGAAGGTTCTTTTATGTGAAGAATCTGTGTCTATTGTCAATAGAGAATAAAAGAGTTCACGTCAAATAAAAGGGAATTAAAAA